CCTTCATAACCTGCCCTTTGCTCGCCCTTTTAGCCTTCCTTCCTTGTCTCTAGGCCCCGCGCTTTAACCACTCCACATGACCTCTCTGTGCTCTCTAGATTCTGGACATTTTCTCCAACCCCAGGTCCTTTGCTTGTACCTGACTGTTGCCTCATTCCAGAATGTGCTTTCCCCTGTTCTTCAACTGGATCAGGTCTCACATTCAAGGTCTGGGTCAAATGTTGCCTCCTACCTCAGAGCTATGGCCTTCATGACTTCTACGACTCACCTGGGTCAGCTATAGTTTTCTGATGTGCCCTTGGTACAGATGATACTAAGGTGTCAGAGGCTCCTTCAGGAAACGGCTGAAGGGAATTTTCATCTCCTTGTCCCCAGAATCTTCAGAAACCAAGCTGATCATAAAGCTCTTAAAATCCTTCTAAGAACCCCATGGAAGTACACGTGATACTGATTCATTTCGTACACGAAGAACCCAAGTTTCAGAGACACAACACAGCTTATCCAGAGTGACACGGTGCGCAGACAGAGCAGGGACCTGGGCCTGGAGAATCTCACAGCTAAGCCTGTGCTCTGGAAGTTTCCCTGCTGCCCCTTCATCTTCTAAATGGCTCACAAGGCAGGGAAGGCCTTTTTGGATGTAATTTATTTACTTGTGTGTATATGATGTACATGTGTGTGCATGCACATGCCACAGCACATCTTGGGTGTCACCTTCAGACTCCTTTGTTGTTTGTGGCCGCACATGCCCCAGCAGCTGGCCCTTAAGCTGCTGGAGTTTCTCCTGTCTCTGCCCCCCAGGCTCATTACCACTCGTTAGCTAGAAATAACATGGTAAGAAATTTGAAGTCTGACATCCGTGACACAGGTCTGTGCTTCTAGGAAGCACTAGGCTTACAGACACTCTGCAGAGTTTTACTCAAGATGAGTTCTGGGGATTTAAACTTGCAACTTCGTGCTGGTGTGGCAAGTGCTTTACCCACTGAGCTATCTCCCCAGCCCAGGAAGACCTTTTCATAAGAGAAAACTAAAGCTCTGAGAGGAAGGTTCTCTTCCCAGAGCTTCATGCCCAGTCCTTTGCAGGAACCGATTCTAGGCTCGTGGCTTGATTCAGAACCTAGGCCTTTTTAAGTTGCTGTCCCTATGGGGACCTGCTGCCTCCTCTGTTCAGGGAGCACAGAGGGAATGCGATGCCTAGAGAAATCATGTGGCTCTCAGAGCCGTCCTAAGCCCTTACCACCGAGGTGACGAGAAAGTGACAAGGGACATCTCTACTCCCAAGAGATTCCAGTCACGTGAACTCCACCAATTAAGGCTGGAACGATGTCATCTCCTGAAATGGCATTTTAATGAATGATGGTTCTGGATAAATTGTCATCTCCTGATCCCTCATTAGAGAGCTTAATTAGATCCATCGTAAAATATATTGATAGATGGCTCCAAGCAGGTCTGCAGGACATTCACTGTCCCCTGGAACGTTCCTGTCCTCTCTGCCACAGAGGTGGGTGGGACAGGCTCTTGTGGAGATCCATACCCACGGCATCATTCCTCTTGTCCTTCCTCTCACATCAACCATGGGCCAGGCACTGTGCGGACCACTCATGCTTTAATATACCTTGTCTTTATTTTGCAAATGGTAAAGCCAGCCTTGGAACCCTGGCTGCCGCCCCAGTCAACAGAGCTATCTGTGACATGACAGCTACGAGACTGGCTAACAGAAGACAAAAGGCAAAACAGGCATAATTTTATTCCCAATCTACACACAGTGTCACGTGTAACTTTCATAGAAACCCAATAGTAGAAATTTAAATCTTTACACTCAAGGAAACAGAGTTTTAGAAATGTTATTACAAGCAGTACAGCCAGTCAGTGTCACAATTAGAACCTGGACATGACTTTGAGGAACTCCAGTCTAGAAAGATGTGGGTTCAAACCCCAGTCAATATATGTTACACTGTATAATTTTAAGTCAATTACATAGACTTCTGAATGTCACACTCTGTGCCTGTAATGCTGATGCTAATAATTAGACCTTTCTCTCTGAGTTATTGTGGGGATTGGGTGAGACAGTGTTTAAAGTACTGAATCCACTGAAGTGCTCAGTACATACTATTTTTCATTGAACACTCCACAGTTTGACTTTAGAAAGAGATCTCTCCCTCTTCATAAAACAAGTACAGTAACCCCTGCCCTCAAACAATTTGTAGGCAGCACATTATAGAAGGTAATGATTCAAATAGCATTTATTGATTGCTTTCTGTGTACCTGGGTGTTGGCAAAGGGTTGGAGTGATCACTTTATGGTAAAATTTTTCTTAAACTTTTGATTATTATTCCTAAAATAATGCATTAATGGTGGGGATGAAGAGGGTGTCAAGAGAAAAGACGAGGAAGGGTTAGTAAGAACAGTCTTGCGACCTCAGGGGAAAGATGGTGTTGCTATGGTAGCCTAGGAAGTGTCCCAGAAATTCCAGAGATGAGACAGGACTATGCTGTTCTGGTGGTCTAGATTCTGCAGGCCGTGCATGCATCTGTGGTATGTTCACATGTGTGCTCTGTGAGTGTGTATGTATGTATATCTCTCTCTGTATAGAAACTGCTCTGCACAAGAGGGTGACTTTCCGCATCTGTGTACATTTGAAAATTGTTCTTTTTTCTCACAATAAATATAATTTGAAAGCTGGGCATAAAGTAGCTTTTTCCCGAACTCCAATCACATTATATCACATAATTTTTCTTTCAAAGAAGAATGCTGGGAATTAACCTGCAATTGGTGAACCTCTTCCTTCCTTTTTTCTATTCTCTCTGTCTCTCTCTGTCTCTGTCTCTCTCTGTCTCTCTGTCTCTCTGCCTCTGAGGTTCTATTTATATCTTAAAATGCTTTCATGTTTTTACACTTAGCATATAAATGTCCCTGTGTCACATAAAATAGCATGTACCCAGTGCCTGTAATTAGATCAGTGCTCCATCCGGGTGGCACACATAATCATGGAGGACATTGTTCCCCACTCCACTCCTCCTCAGACAGTACCAAGCAGGTCATATTCCTGCCCTAACCCTTTTCCCTTTCTCTTTGGCCAACTCCTAATAATGACAGTCATCTGCTGTGACTGTCTCCTGTTACCTTCCTGATCTTTTCCTGTCACCTCTGAGGTGACTTCGTGTTGACGCCCATGTTCTCTAATAGACAGCTGGGGCAGTCTAAGACCTCTGCTGTGATCTCTCTGCAAAGTAGGAACAATCCCTGTGTTGTTGAATCCATCCCTCTTCACAGTGACAAAGCTCTTCTCAAACTGGTCACACCCAAGTACATTCCTAGCCCCCAGGGAGACAGGAGAACTAGATTCCCTAAAATATGAAGACACATTATAAAAATTTAAATTAAATTTAAAAAATAGAGGAGAGGAAATCAGGCTTCATCTTTAACCACTCTGGATGCCTGTTAGGGAATAGTGCGGAGAACAATTAGGGCTGTATGAGTGAGAGGTTTATTTCTCACATGCTTGTCAGGTCAGAAGACAATCTGTTTATTTTCCTGCTACAATTTTATTCAATAAACTGAAAGGATGGGAGCTGGGAAAGAGGGTATGAACAGGATGTGTGCTATCAATTTGTCAAATAAATAATCGTGCTTGGAAACAACAGATTTTATTAATTAGACAGGATGGTGTATTATTACCATTAAAGTGTTATATTGCATTAATTTTTATATTTTACTCGGCTACTAATTACTGTAAAAGATTTCGGGATTGAAGCAAAATAAAATCATGCAGCATTATACATAATGTAAAGATAGCGTGAATTAATTTGCCTGGCGACTAAACAGGAAGAGGCACGGGGGATGCAGCTCTTCCTGGCTGACGCCTTCGGGCTCCAGCAGCAGTAGTGGCTGCCAGGAGGTCAGAGGCGAGCTGGCCAGGGAGCCCTGGGTTCAAGGCCAGGCTCACCAGGCACTGGTTCTGCACCTTCTGACACATTTCCTCCCAGAGGCCTCCGGGCTCTGTTACCTGCCTTAGGGCGACTGTATGTATGCTGCCAACCCGAAGAAAAGGTGCCTTCACGGTGGGAGTGGGGGAAGGGGTGATGGCAGGGGTTGAGCAGGTGAACAGAGGCATGTCTGGAAGGCTAGACGCCTCCTGGGCAGACTGATGCCGAGGTACTCCCGCAGGCCAGGCCGAGTCCCGGGCACAGCAGGGGACTCAGGGGACCCTGCATTGAAACCGTCAAAGCCGAATGCCTGGAGCACCAGGGCAGGGTCAGATCCTCGCTGTAAGCGCAGACCAGAGGCTGGGTTTGGAACAGGTGTCCCCACCTGGGAGCCCCGTGTGGCGTGGCACCGTGGGAAAAAGCACCACTGTCCTCGTCAGTCACCTCTGCCCAGCCAGGCGAGGGCTAAGTGGCCGCAGCCACGTCCCTTGACCTCCCTGAAAGGCAGTCTCTTCTTTAGATTAAAACAAAGTGAACGCAGGTTCTGATCCAATGCATGCCCACGTCGGGCACAGGTCTGGGGAGGCGGCGGGCCGGGCCCTCCCCACGTGCCCAGCATCCCTGGGAACTCCCCGGGACGGCAGGCCGCGGGGATGCTGGGAGCCCTGCAGAGTCCGGCCGGGTCCTCGGGGACCAGTGGAGCCGCCCGGGGCAGCGCGGCCCCACGCCCACCCCGGGGGCGCGGCTCCCTTCGCCCGGCCGGAGCCCAGCCACGTTTTTCTCCAGGCTGGGTCTCCACGCGGCCAACAGGACCGACATTTCTCACGACCCACTGCCACCTACCGTCCACTGTTGGGAACTGCAGGTCTCCCCAAGAGCCTTGGGGCTGGGAGGACCGTCCCCGGGTGCGCTCAGGCCCATCTGTTAGAAGCCTGGGTTTCCAGTGTGTTCTGGGCATCGCGTGGTGGGGGGACAACTCAGCCAGGCCTTAAGTACTGGTGATCTGGTTTGCACCGTTACTCGAGTGACCTCTTGCTCCCCATCTGACCACATCTCCCTTTCGAGGTCTGGAAACAATTGGTCTGCGATTAAAAGGCTGTTTCCGGTGGTTACTCACAATGGATCAGATGTAGGACTTCCGGTGAATACTGCTTCTATTTCTGGTTTCCTGAGGGTGGGTTAGACCTACATCTGCCCTGGATGCCTGACCTCCCTGAACCCTGAGCGGACCACGTCTCTGCCTCTTTCATGTGACTGCTTACAGTATGTATTATTCAGCCTGGCAAAAGACCTTGGGTCCTTCTGTGTCCAAAGGCTGGCTGGGGTAAGTTATTTAACCCGTTTGTATCCTATTTTCTTCATCTTTAAAGCCACAACAATAGCTCTTTGCATACAGGATGTTCATGAGATTAAATGACTACACGTAAAGGACTTGGAACAAGCATGGCACACAGTAAGTGCTTCATAAGTGCATAGTAGGGGGCTTATACAAGTCTTGGGGCTTATCATTGTGAGCTAATTAAGTGCTGAAATAATTTCTGAATCAGTCATGAGCCAACAGTAACTTGTTAAGGAGGAAGCCGTACGGCTTACGTACGCATCCATCCACCCATCCATTCATTTAATAAATTTGCTGAGGGCAGTGCAGTGCTCTGGGATTACAAAAGCATAGCTGAACACCATGTCCTTTCGCTCATGGAGCTTATAGTGTTTAGAGGCCACAGAACAAATAAGTCAGGTTTGGTCCCACACAACTGTCATCTCAGTACTTGGCAGACAGAGGCTAGAAGATTGCTACAAGTTTAAGGTCAGCCTGGTCTACATAAGGAGTTCCAGGTCAGCAAAGGCCATATAGCAAGACTGTATCAAAAAAACACAACAAAATAAAAAACAAACAGAAATAGATATATGAATGAAATAACCATCAGGAACAAACTACCCAGGGTCTCTGGAAGAATGGCCCAGGAGTGGGGTAGGAGAGTTCCTTCAGGTGGGGCCAGCAGAGGCCTCCAAGTAGCTGAAGGTTAAGTGGAAAGTTGAAGGATGAAAAGGAGGTATCGGGAGGAGACTGGCTGTAAAGGGGTATGGCCACTTTCCAGGTGGCAGAAGATGAACTAGGCAGTAGTGTGCACCTGTTATCCAAGAACAAGAGAGGCCGAAGCTGGAGAATCTGGAGTTCAAGGTCAACCTGGGATTCATAGCAAGACCTTGTCTCAAAACTAATAGTTGCTGGAGGTGGGGCAGCCACTGGGTCGTTGTTCAGGCATGCTCCTATAAGCAACCCTAATTGAGCTCATTGGTTCATGACAAAAGACATAAAGATGGAAAGGAGGGAAAGTTGGGAAGAAGGGGATCAGCAGGGGTGGGGTGGGACAAGAGAAGGAAATGGGGTGCAGATGAGGAAACGCATTATACACGGGTGTGAGAATGTCCAGTGCAGAATTATGCATAATTGACGCAAATCTAACTAAGTAACTAAACAAAGAAAAGAAATGAGATGAGGCCAGATATTGAAAGGAAAAGACCAAAGAAGAGAAATGGAAAGGAGAGGAGAGAAGGGGGGGAGAGGAAAGTGAAGAGAATCCCAGGCATAAGCCAGCACGGCCTTGTAGCCCTGGAAGGAAGGATTTAGAAGGCAGGAAGGCTCTCTCCTCTCTCCACCCCTGGGAACCTGGGGAGGCCTGAGTGCATGGAGCCGGGCAGCGGAAGGAAGTTAGCAAGCGCTGAGGTGGGGCTGTGGCCTTCATATTTATTCCAAACAGATAAACAGCAGTAGCCTTGGAGGTGGTGGGAGGTTCGAGCACTGGCATGGTGTTCTTACCTGTGCCACCTGCACAGGGCATTGTCTTGTGATGAACTGTCACAGTCTGTCCTTGGAACTGTCAGGAAGTGCAGAGAGCCATTCAGGAAGGCTGCAGAGGATGGTCAACGAAGGCCCCTGCACCGCACACAGATTATGTGTGTATACTGTGTGTCCAGAGGATTGCTCCTTCAGTCCTAACACCAGCAACCTGCAGAGAGCACAGATGTCAGGACTGTGAATGGAAAATCGAGAGTGGTAGGGGAGGAGGAATGAAAACATGTGGACCCATCCCTCAGAATGCCCCAACTACCCGATTCTGACTTCCTGTCTTACAGAAAATTGTCTCATAGTATGTACCATATTTTACAAATACGTATTTGAATTCAGCATGCATTTCTTCAGCGTCTAACTTTCCACTGCAGGTTTTCTGAGGAATGGGCCTGGTTCAGCTCCCTGAGCCACTGTACCCTCGTACCTGGTACATAGAACACCACATAATAATTGAATGAATGTAACCATCCACTTGTCCTCAAAGGAACAACTGTTCTCTGAACCCTTTCTGATTCTTCCCAAATGATCCACCCCTTTCCCTACCCACAGCCAGCTCATCTATGAAATCTTCCTCTCTCGAGTCTCTCCAGCATCCTCACCCTAAACTTAGGCCTTCTCTAGAGGTCTCCCAGTCTTTTTATTTTTTCAAAAATAGTGACATAAAATTAAGCAACAGAGAACTTGTGTTTCAGTTTCTTCCTGGCTTTCTCCTTAAGGTTTATAAATGACTTTGGGGTCAGGAGACTCCTCTGAGGTGGGTAGGGACAACTGACTATAGCTCTCATTTTCCAGATGGGGGTCCAGGCAATTGAAGCCATGAAGTGACCTATCTATAAACATCTGTGTCACAGCTCGGGTGTGGCAGAGGCTCCGCTAGGTGAACTCTTGTAACTCTCGTCATGCAAGTTGGCCTCCAACAGGTACTCTGCTTGGGGTTCCCTGGACCACACACTCCCACTGCCTGTTTAGGGCAGTGAAGGTCCTTGAAAACCTCATGAGGATGTCCCTCGAGGGGCAGCTCAGGAGGAAAGACAGAGGCGCTCTGGGACACTGCTGTTCCTGAAGGCATCAATTCAGCGGCCATAAAGCAAACGGAAGGTAGATCACAAATACCTATGCAGGCTCCAAGGATGGCCCAAGACCCTAATCTTCAGGGCTTGCCAACTTCCGGCACTCTGACCTTAGGCAGTTGATAGGAGGTCTCCATGCTGCAGGCTTCTCCTCAGTTCACCCACGTAAGATGCTCAGAGCCCTGTTTGCCGCCGAGCAAGGACTCGGGCGGTCTTTTCTTTCACTCCTTCTCTTTCTTCCTTTTCTCCTCATCCCCTCCTCTCTTCTGCCCTCCCTCCCTCCCTTTCTCCTTTCTGCCCTTCTCTCTCTCGTTCCCTTTTCCTCTCTTTTCATTTTTTCCATTGCTTCTTCAAATATTTCATGTTTTTATCTTATGTGTATGAGTGGATTGCCTGCATGTGTGTAAGGACACTGGTGTTGTGCAGTGCCCGTGGAGGTGAGAAGAGATCCCTGGAACTGGAGTTATGGATGATTGTTAGCCGCCATGAGGTGGTGGAAACTGCACCTGCCCCGGTCCTCTGCAAGAACAGTCCGTGCTCTTAACTGCTGAGCCACTGCTCCAGCCCCACACTGCTTTCTTTTTATCCTTCTTTTTCTTATTTATTCTTTCGAAATTCCTATCTCTGGACAGGCCCACTCAATGAGAGGAAACTCATGTGTGGTACTGTAAGCCTAGCTAAATACATGTGGGTGGAGAGGTAATAGATTGTAGAGAGAACCCCAAGGCTTTCACATCCCTAGACAGCTATAATTTCTTACCATGTGCGAAATATGGATCCTTAAATTTATAAACAAGTATCCCAGTCGCCACTCATCAAAGATACTTCTTTTTCAACAGACAGAGATTATTACAGAGTTCCATAACTGGACATACACAGATATTGTCTGTGAATTTCCCAATCCTAAGTGGCATGTCGACAATGCAACCTCTACACCTAAGGCTAATGGAACATAGAACAAGGGGTAAACAGAACATCTGTCAACTCTCATCAATGAAGCTCCCTCATGCAACAGAGAACCAGGAACACAGGTCACAAATGGTCAAAGCATAGAGAATAAG